AACCTAACATGTTTATCTAGTCCCCCTATATTGATGAAATTAAAACTTCAAACACAATCTTCTCTGCAGTGGACAAAAGCTGAAAAAGTCTGTTCAGCCGTTTCAGTCTTCTAGTCTTTGGTTTTCACCAGATCCTTGGAATCATCTTTCTGCACACACAGTTTAAAGTTCATCCTAGGATTGAGGGCGCCTTTATGTAGAGGTACCAGATCATCACTCTCCTGTGGCCTCCTCTTTCACCTGGTTTGTCCTTCAATTGTCAGTCACTCTGGAAATTGTTTTTTTATTATAAAGTATTTACTGTGTCTAAAGAAATTTAACATTCAGTTGTAATGGTAATTTTTTTTAATTCTCCAGTTTTTTCTTTTTCTATATAGTGAAAACATTAAAGAAAAAAGTTATAGTATTAACTCTCTTCAAAATTGCCTACCCTTTCTTAATTAGTTATGCAGACTGAATTAATTTCTTAACCTGAGGGAAACCTGCAGTCTTGCCCTTCTGAGATTTTTAAAAATAAATTAGAATAAGAAAGAAACACAGGTACACCAAAAAGAATGTAACTGACATATATATTCCATTTATAGTATTTAGAAATAAGCTGTTAATTTTTCACTTAAAGACTATATGTGAAATGTGTAAAAGATGCAGTTTTCTATGAGAGCTCCTAGATAACTAAAGAGAGCTTGTTTTTTCAGTCTCTCTAGCATACATATGAAATAGCTTGAACACAATTTTTTTCAAAGATTTTATTTGTTTTTAGAGAGGATGGAAGGAAAGGAGAGAGGGGGAGTGAAACATCAATGTGTGGTTGTCTCTCTCGTGCCCCCTACTGGGGACCTGGTCCATAACCCAGGCACGTGCCATAACTGGAAATTGAACCAGAGATCCTTATGGTTCGCAGGCCTACACTGAATCCACTGAGCTACCCCAGCCAGAGCAATAATTTTTAACTAAAAATAAGAAAGCTTGCCAAATATCTGTTTTCCTTTTATATTTTATTTTTCTATAATCTTAGTTACAAATGTAATTCTGAAACATGGGAAAGTTTTGTTGCTGTTGTCATTAGTGGTGGTGGTAGTGGTGGTGGTTTATAGTAACTACCTGTTGTCCTCAGAATTTGGGGGTATTTATTATACTACCATTTTACCAAGCTCGTGACATGTCAGTTAAGAAAAGAACAATTGTATAGTAACTTAAAAATAATTAAGTTGCCCCAGCTGGTGTAGCTCAGTGGATTAAGCATGGGCTGCAAACCAAAGTGTTGCCAGTTTGATTACCAGTCAGGGCACATGCCTGGTTTGTAGGCCAGGTCCCCAGTGGGGGCCACATGAGAGGCAACCACACATTGATGTTTCTCTCTCTCTCTTTTCCCTCCCTTCCCCTCTCTCTGAAAATAAATAAATAAGATCTTTTTGAAAATTGTTATTAATAGTAATAATAAAGTTCATTTATATTATTTTAAAGCAAATGGGAAGTTTTGCTTAACTCTTGCATTATTTTAAAAAGACTAAGTCTTCAAATGAATAATGTGTGCCTTTTAATTTATAGTTCAGTGAATCATGCAGTGGTTTTCAAATCTTTCTAGGAAATAAAATAATCTACTACATGATATTCTTATCTTCTACTCAGGTAGTTAAAATATGCAATACCCAAGTTGTAATTATAGAAAATAGAATATTGTAACACTTGAAATGAACACATACCCACACCCACAGTAAGCAAAATTCAACCTGGAAAAGTGTATTTGTCACCAAGAGATTTATTTCTTTTTAATATTTACTCTTGTACTGAAAAAGGCTTTGTTTCCTTAATTACCCCTGAACATCTACCTTAACACCTTGTCTGATTATGTTATTTACACAACTGTTATTCCTTAGTTTAAAAGTGATATAGTGATGTCTACTCTCCTTTTCTGACTCAGTCTATGTTTTCCCTAATGTCTATTCAGCACTGGAAACAGCACTTGAAGTGACTCAAGCTCTACCTCATTTCCCTTCACTTTAATTAAATCATGTATTGGCATTTAATGTAATTTATAGCTGATAAATTCAGATTTGTCTTATGCCAGACCATGTACTGTTTCATCTATTCCTTCTCAGTTTAATTTTTATTCCAGAAAGTTCCATTAAGAGACCATTAATTAAAATATTGTGTAGACATAATAAGCAGCCTTACACAGGCTTAAAAATAAAGTTGTTCTTTTGTCTGTAGCTTCCACTAGTAAGACGACTTTTGCATCGAAGTGACTGTAGTTTTATATTGTTGCACTTGCAGACACACAAATGGCAGCAAATGCTTTTTCATATATAAATGTCAAACAATATGTCATGTAACAAATTTATATTGATGTAAGTTTTTTAGTAATTTGCTTAATAACATAGCTATTACTTTTTAATCATCTGGCCATTTCATGCTTACCTAACATAGTTGGTAATAATACGTGGAATAGGTACAAACATTCACTGTAATAGGTACAACTGAATCTGATTTATCTAATTAATTTTTAGTGAAATAAATTAGTTTTGTTCTTCATTACTCTCCAATGGGAAGAAGACATTATATTTCATTATATTTTTGTGTCTGAAAGAACAATAGAGCATTATAGGTCACACACAAAAATCTTATCTATGCTCTAATTAGTCCAACTAACAACGTTGTTTCAAAAATAGTATAATAAATAGTAATACATCTAGGGTAACATAAATATTGAACTATATTAAATATGGTATTTTATGGACCTTTTACACAAAGGAGGGAGAAATTTTCTTTTCTCTTTGTTCTGTAAGTTTTTTTTTCTGTAGTAACTAGCAGTAGCTTCAAAAAATCTTCAGATATGTCTCATATTGAAAATATGAGGTCATTTTGTCCTGGCTGGTGTGGCTCAGTGGATTGAGTGCCAGCCTGCAAACCAAAGTGTCACCAGTTTGATTCCCAGTCAGGGCATGTGCCTGGGTTGTGGGCCAGGACCCCAGTAGGGGGCATGTAAGAGGCAACCATGCATTGATGTTTCTCTCCCTCTCTTTCTCCCACCCTTACCCCCTCTCTAAATTAAATAAATAAAAATCTTTAAAAAAGGAAAGAAAATATGAGATCATTTTAAATACATTTGACTATGCTTATATGTAAAATAATTAAAGGAAAACAAATTGGGAAAAATGAACCAGGTTTGCTACAAAAGTGAATCAGGATTTTAAAATCTGAAATAAAACTCAAAAGATACTTTAGAAATGCAGTATAAGTATGTTTAAGAATGATAGCAGCTATAACAAATAAGCCTGCATTCTTATTAGCTTAGCAAAAGACAAGTTTCTTTTTTTATAGCCCAGTCTAAAATGGGTTAGCAAAATGGAAGATGGCGTTTCTACTCTACAGTTATTCAGGAATCTTCAGAATTTCCAGTCAATGGTTTTACTGTTTCTAAGAGGGTCAATGTTCTCCAAGTATTGTCACAGCAGTATATAGGTCAAGTGTGGATGTAGTATGAATAACCTGTGCCCATGCTCGATTGGCCGATATTCAGTCACTTCGCCGATCTCAAATATAAGCGATACGTTCTGAGAAACGTACGCTAATTTTCTGCTCTGAAAGAAAAGAGAAACTGTAGTAAATATGTGTCCTGTGGTTTGCAGGACTCTCACATCTAGACAATTTACAACTTACATCCCTGAAGTTACCAAAGTGGCTCTTAACCCTTAAGCCTAAATGGGGCATAATTTTGAGTTCACAAACTACTGTGTTCCTATTAACCTCTTTATATACATTATCTCAAACAATCCTTCCAAATAGACAGTACTGTTGCCAACTAACAAAAACTGGTACTCAGAAAGATGAACTACCCTGTGTAAGATTACCGCTACTTAGCTAGTAAGTGGCAGAGATGGTATTCACTCACAGAGCCTCAAAGTCCATGCTCTTTCTAATATATTTCAGTGCCATGATATCTAAAACAATAAAAATTATATATTTTTTGATGAGATATGCTGAAATTTGCCATTTATTACAAATGTATTTTGTAATAAAATGGATTACAATGTATTTTTAAATAGTCTGTGATTAGTCACCAATGAGATATAATATTGACACTAGAAATCATTTTGCTTTTCATTGGTATTATGATTCTGTGAATTCTAAATTCAATGATGTTATGCTTCTATCAGGTCTAAATTATCAAAAAAAAATGACTACTTCTAGAATAATCTTAGTCCAGGTTTAAATGTGTTTTAATTATGTAGACCTTTGAATTAAATTTAAAGTTGCCTGTTGAATTCAAATTACAAGTTGATTTTCAAATTAATTTTAAATATTTTAAGGTGATATGCAAGTTTTATCTTTTTATGATATTTAAAATAGATACTAAACTTTATGAAAAGATATTTACATGATTGTCATTGTTTTACACAGTAGTTTTAATATATTTCCCAAAATTAAATGGCCTAATCAAAATAAGTCCCTTGGTATGATATTAAGGACAGCGTTAAGTTATGTATTTTTGAATCATGAACAGTTGACTTTGGGCTGTGTTGTAGAGGAAAGACAATTTGCAAATGCCTTGTGCTGAATGATGCTTTGCAATTTCTTTTAATTCTAATCAGGATATATTAAAATAATTTTGAAACTAAAGTTGTTGTTATTTAAATCCCTAACAATTATTTTAGCCTCACTTATTAGTATAATCAGTATACTAATTCTGTATACTGAATTAGTATACAGCCTCAGTATACAGCCTTCTGTATACAACCTCAGTATACCAAGAAGCTGTTCTGAATCTATTTATGAGTAAACCCAAACATAAGGGAGCAGTGTTCTTAGTCACATTCCAAACTCATAATTTGATTCTTTTTCTTTTACTTAAAAAACATGCTTATCAATAATTGTAACAGGTTCAGGACACAAGCAGTGTTGCTTGCTTTCAAAGAAATTTTCTAATTTTCTATGCCTTTGGAGCACCATGTGTATTCTGTATACCTTAACATTTACTAAAAGTATTGTTTCTTCCATAGGTGGACGTAATGAAGTTGTCATTACAGAAAACAATAACAGCATAACTGAACAAATCACGGATGTTGTGAAGCAACCAGCCTTTATAGCTGGTATTGGTGGTGCCTGCTGGGTAATTTTGATGGGTTTTAGCATCTGGTTGTATTGGCGAAGAAAGAAGAGAAAGGGACTCAGTAATTATGCTGGTAAGAGACTATTTCCAGCTAAGAAATCTTCTTATCTTTAGGAATGTTTTGAAATGAAAGAGAAGGAATGGAATGGAATAACGGAAGAGTGAGTGAATGAATCTTTTTGACTTGTTTTAAACATCCCTTCTGTAAAATGCAATTATAAATGACATGCTTTAATGAATTGCTCTTCACCACATCACATTATGACCAAATGGCCATCTTTTTCCTTGAATCTCCAATGAAGCATAGCAAGAGTGCACATTGATAAATGCTTAACCATTATTCTCAACTAGTTCTTCAAAACACACAAACACAGACACAGACTTTGCATGCTATGAAGCCATTATTTGAGAAGTGCTCAGGAAAAAATTGAAATGCAGCATTAAGCATTTTAAGATGCAGGTTACAATAGGGAATGTTGCAGATGGAAAATAAAAGCAAGCAAAAATTCTCAGCAGAATTAATTAGATGGATAATGCATGAATTAAGGGTTTACTAGTCACTTAAACAGATGTATTTTTCAGTGTGACCAATCAGCATTTTAGAAGGAAGAAAAAGAAAGAAAAGAAGCAGAAGAAGGAAAACAAATACCTAGATGTTCTACTTGTTTGCAAAAGTTGTTTTGCCTTAGAATTCAAAGCAGAATTTCAAGGATGTCAAAAATTTTGGCCTTTTAAATATTTCCAAGGAGCAGAAAAACAGAGAATTATGAAATCAGTGATTGAAAGAGTGAACTAAATGCTGAAACTTGTTCAATAGCAATTTTAGTTACAATTCATTTTAAGTATTTTATCTAAAAACAATAAAAAAATTCCCTCATAGCATTTTCCACTTTCTAGAGTTTATAAGCAAACAGTTTTAATTTAACATACTCCTGTGAACACTTTAGAATTCTTAAGATATTTTATTCAACCTTCTATACCGTTGGTAAGAAGCATAAATATCTTAATGACTGATTTTGACAGAGGATTCAATGCTTATTAACTTTATAAGCTGCTGTAGCTTATAGGCTTCTAATCTGCTGAGAATGTGTAAATACTGCAAAATGGGAAAAAATAGCACCCACTTGGTTGTCTTGTTATTTGACAGCATTTAAATATGATCATTTGATCATAATATTGTGGCTCATGTCCATATCTTATGAAAATAAAGTTTATTAATTACCCCATATAATAAATTCTCAGGACTAGAGAAAGGATTACTTAGTGTATGCATTGGAACGGAGTTTCCATGCTTTGTGATATGCTGTCTTTCTGTCATTCCCGTTCCTATGGGTTAAGATGCATTCTTCCTTCTGCTTTGTCATTCAAGGGCTGTATCACCACACCAATGAGGGTGTCTTCCAAAAAAGGGGTGTGGGGCAATAACTGCTAAGTGTCAGACTCTTGAACCTTGAGGATACTTGAATGCCTTCTTGATTTGCAGTGCAGTCCTGCACCTTCATTTCGTGATGGCACTAAAACTGATCTGTTTAATCACTCACCATGTTACATTCTGTCTCTATGACACATTCATATAAATCTTATACAACATGAAGAAGAACAGGTTTAGTTTGAGGACTATTTTGTGTTTATCATTTTGCCTGACTTTAGGAAAAATAATAAAATATTGACTATACAAGTCACTTCAGTGCAGAGTTCTAAGATACCCACATTCTCAGTGATGCATTTTTACTCTCCATACTTCTTCATTCACTCACACCTCATAAATAACAAAGCTCTAATAATTAGTAGGTTTCTACTTTCAGTAAAATGATCTCAGACATTTTTCCCTTCTTTTTGTAACAACAGTTTTTTTTTGGGGGGGTGGATTTCTTTTCTTTTTTTTGGCAAAATCTATGTATTTAATTAGAAAATTACTGTTGGTCTTTGAACTTCATAAGATAGTACATTTTCTATTATCATCTCTCATTGTGATTGATATCCATCTGTTTGCAGAAGAACTGTTAACTCAGAAGGTGTATGCCCTTTAAATACTTTGGAATAAGGCCAAGCCAGAGAGCAGGCTTTCAAAACCTTTATACTTAATTGATAGATGGCTGACTTCTCAGACTAGATTCACCTTCAACTAGCAATTTGCCTTTCAGCAACTGCTGTTCCTTTCTTGTAGGTGAGAAGAAAATGAAAATTGAAACCACAGGTGCCTAGCATGGTATATCTGACTTGGTGATATTTTCTACACATTTCCCTTCAAAAATATCTTATCCTCCACCTGTTAAAATTTCCCTATTCTTGTCCTTATGCAATGTGGAGAATATGAGGATTTTAAATAGGAATGATTAATGGAGTATGTATTTATCATAGGTTTAAATTTCTGATACTTCATGCATGAGCTAATGATCCATTTTCAGAGCACAGAGATTTCAGAGATTTCATTGAAGGTTATTTCTTCTGAAGCATGTTATAAAAATTATATTGAATAAATTCTGTTTTTACTATTCTGTTTATATTTTGGTTTTTATAAAAATCTCTCTGGGAACCATAAATTTCACAAGTAAGAAAATATGATTTTCTTGCAAAGTGAAAAACCTAATATTTCTACTTTTTCATTACATTATAATGTGTATGCAGTCTCAAACTTTTATTGTTGATTCACCATAACAAAATAATTTTTTCCCACTAAATGAAAATTTACTTTGGGATAGTTACTTAATTTATAACATAAAACACTTCATTTATTTCAAACTCCAAGTGTGATATTGGACTATACAATCCTTAAATATCTGATTCTTTACATATATTAAGAAACATGTACTTTAATAAAGCTAGACTAATCCTAAGTAGAATTGTAAAGCAGGTAAAATTTGATTTCAGCACTGCCCTTTTCCTACTCCATTCCAAGACTCTCCTTAACCACTAGAGAGGTAGAACAGAAAAGATTTTAACTAGTATGGGGATACAAAAATAATCTTTCAGTTTGGAAATTCTAACCCTCACAGAAAGTCACTCGCCCTCTGTAGGCAAAAACTTAGTCATTGACTTTGTGGCTAGTGTTTGACTCCCTGTCATGTGAAAAATCGCATTTGAATGCTTAGAAGGAAGGGGGAAAATCCTGTCACTTGGTATTGATATTTTTTTGTATGTCAGAGATTTAACACATTTATCATAGAACACTAGTGGATTGACACTTTGGATTGTAAAAACAGCTATAAAGGATCAAATGCAAACTTACACATTGAAATGTCCTGTGAGAAGAATTTGGCCAAACTTCTTGAGTAGGAAATGAGAGATCTCCCCAGGGCAGCATGACACACTAATGTTCTATTCATTTTTTATCCCTCTTTATCCGTTATTTAAAATCTTTAGAAACAAACATGCACCATAGACTTGCACATGGCACAAAGAAGGGCAGGTAGATTTGAAAGGTATCCTCAGATATCATATCCTCAGTCTGTATGAAATTACTTTATATTTTTCTAGAGTAGCATGCAGTGCTGTTTATCTTAATCTTCACTGAGCACTAACAGTCTCCTTGTCACTGCATGTGACATCCCTGTCTGCTAGAATAATTTACCACCTAAGTCATTGTAGGGTGAAGTAAAATTGTAAAGAGATTTTTGGCATAAAATACAGAAAATATTAGGTAATTTTTGAATCTAGAATAAATGTTTGATCATGTGTATAACAGTGTTTGTAAATAGAAAAATGAACAACATAAGTTAGAATAAAGGCCATGTATTGTAGCTTTCATAGAGGTTCTAGATAGTTATATATGATATATATAAAACATATTATCCATATCTATATATTTTACATATCCATATAATAATCCACATGGCTACCTGGCTTTTCTCCAATTTTGTTTTTACTTTTGTATTCACAATTTCAAAGGATCGGATTTTTAATGAAAGTAAATACATTTTTATTTTTAAAGGGGTGATTTTATTTTATGAATATTACCTTTCAAGATAACAGATTTTATAAAACTCAGTAAATACAAAGAATTGAATGATTGAGCAAATTATAAAATGTTAAATAATTCAAGCACCGCTTTTAAAACTGTTGCTGAGATATAAAGTGTTTGAAAACTGTGCAAAGGCAGCTGAGAGATTGGATGGAAAGTGTATAGTCTGATTACCTAGGCTGAGTTAATGCTTATTAAAAGAGGATTAATATACATTCATATTTGAGAAATAGCTTATCAGGAAAGGGAATGAAGCTTGGCTGGCAACATTAAAGTTTCCATTTGGAGTACAAAAATGTGGCTTACTAGAGATAGCTGTTCTGAAAGCATCCTTACCTCAAAATGTCAATTTACTGCATAGTTATGTGTTCCTTCCCCTTCACTTCTAGCAGGCATGAGATTAGGATTAATCCCATCAGATAATAGTACAGGTACTTTGTGTATGATAGAAACTTGCAAAATCTTTTTTACCATATATCCTTTATAAATATTGCCATAAATTCAAAATATTTAATGCAGTTCCCAAAAAAGTAAGATTGTGGTATCTGAAGAACTTTTTAGAAACCGTGGAGTTATTTAGTGAGTTTTAGCTAAAAACTTCTATACATGGCTCTCTCAGAGTTCTCAATTTTAGAGGCTAGCCGAAACTCCTGATAAAGGTTCACACTTACCTCGTTATCCCTGATAAACGCACAATTACTGGTATCAAAGTCATGACTAGAACAAGATTGTCCAATGACCTTTACTCTCCTCACCCTCATTGCTTTTAACTTCAAGGTAGTTCAGAACACCTTTGAAATGATAGCTACATCGAAACAGCTTCCAATTTGCTGAGGCATTTCTTTTTATGTTTCTCTCTCCTTGCACCAAAAAAACCCAAAAAACAATTCTGATCAGAACATGAAATATGACTTCCATTTTAGGAGTTCTAATCATTCATTCTCATTTCTAGTCTGCTTTTAATGTCATGATCTATGAGAATTCTGTTACTTTTCATTTGTTATTCAAAATAGAACAAATTAAAAGTCTTGAAACATGGGTTAAAAAAGGGAATCTTGAAAAGATGTGCTCTTTTTTCCCTTGCTTTAAAAAGACAACTAAGCAATTTTATTGATAAGGGTCTTTTTTTTTGTTCTGATAGAAATATGAAAAATGGAAGATTCTCATATCTATAGGCCATTTTGAGTTAGTCATATACTTACACAATATTCTGTGTATTTTTGCTTTCGTATAGTTGGTATGCAGACATGTATATTATGAATAATTTACCATTAGTTAGTATGTGTAAGTCAAGTGTAACTCCGTTTTTTGCCTCTTCAGTTGTCTTTTCCGTAATGTATTTATTGCTCTGACAGTAACAGGACTTTGGGGGCGAAAAGAGCATATAAATTAGGGAGGAATATTTAGCTTCTCCCTACATATCTCCCAACAGCACATTTTAAGGTATAGCCCATCAGTGCCTGTTTATTTGCATATTCACAACATTATCTTAACTCTTTTAGCAGAGTAAAACAATCACTCGATAGTCCATTAAAAACCATACAACTAGAAAGTCACATCAGATGGAAAGCTAATTAAGTGTACTGTTTTCACATTTTGTTTTATTTCCCTAATCAAGCCTTTATTTAATACCTCCCATGCTTAATTTTTTCATTAATTGTTTTAGATTAATTATTTTATGTTAAATGCATTTATTAAAGGGACCTGTTGTGAGGTGGACATGCTGCTGCTTCCTGATTCCCAGCACTTAAGTGAGCCATCAGAGAGCAGAGTAGGGATCAGTATTCCTTGATTTTTTCCCAGGAGCTATAACCATAGCCCATTCTGGGCAGATGCAAAAATTATGTCAAGATTGTTTTATAATGTATTTAAGATGTTACCTCAAAAATTAATAAGGCAGTATAATTCAGGTGCCAGCAGATATTCCTGAAACTGTCTAATGAAGTAGTGTCTCATGAAAGTTCTGATGGAGCCTTGGAAGTATGATCCTATCACCTTATGATGTCATGAGAGAGATAGCATTAGCCACGGGGAACTGTTTCTGGAAATTTACAAAAGTTATAGAGTGATCATATTTGATAAAGGAAACTTGAGGAACAGATGAATTATGGAGAGATTATTCAAATTAAAAAGCATTTACTATGTATATACTTTAAGTAACAATAAGTCCTCGGTTTACTTAAAGTATGAATCAATTCATAAATTTTTATTTATTTTTATCTTTACTCACTAGATAAAAGAAAGATAAACCATAGTAAAAAAAAATCAATACCTTCTAAAAGTAAGGTATTTTGGGTTCTCATCTGAATTCGTATTTTCCCCTTTATTCCCAGTCATTGGTTTAACTGACCCATACTAATTTTGGTCATAATTGCAGTTTTGCAGTCCATAAATTTCTAAACAGCAATTCTTTTCATGATTTTCCAGTTAAGTCATTTTATCCAAAGTAATGTGGAATTATTTCTAAGCTTTTTCACATTAATCATGTATATTCACATTTCCCTGCAAAAATATTAAATAATGTTAACTATAATTTGCTGCCTACAACCTTTCTAGAGTACATGATACCTTTCTCACAACTCATATATAAGATTATGCACAAGTGATGGTGAACCTGAATGGATATTTATATTCTTTGGCTGATCCTTGAAACCCACTTTCATGCTGTTTTGTGGAATGGAATCTGGTAACTGGAGGGAGGGACCTGCCCAGCTGTGGCTCTGCTAGCTACTTGTTGGGGCTGCTAATAAGTTCTACAGTTTTGTAAAACACTTGAGTCTTATAATTACTACATACAATTGGAATACATTCAGTATCAATTATTTGAAAATTTTACTGTTGTAAGAGTTGGATGATGCAACAAAGCACTAAACACATCATTCTCTATTAAATACAGTCCATGTCTGTTGTGATTATAGCTGTTCAAGTCACAGTGCTTATCAGTGCCCCTAAAAGGATTTGTGATGTGGAGGAATATGTCATCAGACAGCACCATTGGAAGGATGATATTACCTGTTTCAACTATCTTGTTTTAATTTCTGTTATTTGCATTTTACATATTTCTTCTAATTAGGAAACCCACATATTAAGATGAAAAGTCATAACTTCATAATTCCCTATTATTAATTGTCAATTTTCCAATACCACTATGTACATCAATTGTAATATTTGTGACATTTGACATCCAAAAACAAATTGCCCCTTAGACTTAGCCATACATTTAGCTTGAAGAATTTTAAAATGTCTTATTAAATTTGGAGCAAGTGATGGCTTTGCCATGGACCAAGTCATTCTTTTTTACTCCCTGTGTAATTACATTAATTATATTTTGTTAAAATTCCCAGAGGCCTCAGCTGTAAACTAAGGGCAATATGTAGTTGTTATTAATTGTAATTAATATTGACTACTTGTGTGTGTATGTCTTTCTCTTTGTTTTACAGTTACATTTCAAAGAGGGGATGGAGGACTAATGAGCAATGGAAGGTATGCTAAGGAGATTTTTTATTATTACTATTTGTAATCAGGATTGGGAAACTCTGTAGTGAGAGGCTTTATTGCAATAAATGGTCACTTAGAAGTCTGAGAATTCTAGGAGGAATTAAATGGCTTACCACAGTTTTAATGATCTATCTCTTGTGCACTTTAGAGGAATCAAGTCCAGATGTTTCATATCTCCCACATGCCCCTGAAGAAATTAGTACTAAATATCACAACGAACATGTTCATTTGTTAGCCAATGTTTATTGCATTAATTAGACATTAGCAAATGAAGTTGCTGTTGTTTAAGACTCCTTATTGGCTCTCACTAAATTGCTGTGAGTGAACAATTACACATAATCGATCACAAAGTAAATGATTCATGGATGATGAATAGGCTGTAGATTGATAGGACTGGATTCCACAACTTTGTATACTCAATTGAAATTGATAAAAGCTGATAACTTACCCATATATCCTTATCTATTTTCCCTTTGCCAATATGGAGATTGTAATTAGGCTCTGGTAATAACTTCCAATCTCCCATTTAATCAATATTTTATCACAAAGAGATTAGGTCTAATGAAAATTAGTGGATGTAGCAAAAAAGTAGTTGGATTTTTTTACTGCAGTTTCCATAGAAACTTGTGTTTCTCTTAGGGATTGTACCAGAAACTGTCTATCCAAAAAACAAAAAAGTACAATGATTGTAGATATTGCTATTTCTTCATGAATAATTTCATAATCCATAAAGGAATTAGAATCCCCATCTTTAATATTAAAAATGTAAATTCTTTATTAACTATGGTGTGAAGAAAGTTTTCAAGACTGTGCACATGCTGGATGATATCACAGTGGATCATTTATTACCTTAGAAAAAACTGAATTGTACCCCTGATGTTTTGCCATTGAGAGAACCTAGAAATGTGCTATTGATGGAATAGTATAAATACTGTTCATTAATTTCCCTCAAGTTCTTTGCCCTAAATCAAGTAAGAAGTCTCATAACAGGGATTAGAGCCTCCAGTGGACAAATAAATATGGGAGTTGCAGCAATCAAGAATACAATAGCCCCAAATCTTGGAAACGGCTGATACTGAGCAGTCACTCTGAGCAGTTGTTCCCTTGAGGTACCAATTCATCATCAAAACCTTGTTTCAAAACCTTGTTTTGAAATCCTGCTACAATACTGATTCCTACCAGATTCAGGGCAGATGACTGAATTCATTTGGGTGCCAGAAAAATCCCAGCAAGGACTCTTCTGCTTCCAATGACAAGGTTAATCTATAGGTAACCTAAGGAACTGCTAGAGTTCCTTAATTCTAGAGAGCCTACACATTTTAACTGGAAGCAAATTAAAATCTTAAATTTTAAAATTCATTTTAGTGCCTGAGACAAGTGTCCAAGTCTCTCTCTGAGTTCCACATGTTGATTTCCTTTTAATTTCTGTTTTAGTCGTCCAGGTCTTCTGAATGCTGGGGATCCCAATTATCCATGGCTCGCTGATTCCTGGCCAGCCACAAGCTTGCCAGTAAACAATAGCAATAGTGGCCCAAATGAGATTGGGAATTTTGGGCGTGGAGGTATGTTAAGATTTTCAAAATTTTATTATTTGTTATTTGTTTTCTTGGCTTTCCTAGATTTTTTTTAAAAAGATATACTAAAAAAATAGTTTTCATCATTAAAATTAGAGAAGCACATGTACTAACAGCACAGTACTTTTGCTGAATTTTTGTTATAAAACCATTGTCGTATGTTACCTTGACTAAAACTAAACTTTTAAGGAAGTCATTACTAGTCAGGAAGATAAATATTCATAATACATTTTGTTTTTAAGGCTATTAATACAAGAGTACTAAAATTAGGGATTATGCTGCTAAATGGGGGTTATGATTTTGGTCTAGCCATTTCACTTTTCTAATTCATCCAGCAAGTATTTACTGAGCATGTTCTGTGTACCTGATGGATGGTAAAAATATAATATCAATATAAAGAGAGACATTCTTTATTTTCATATAATATACATATAATGAGTATACACTTAAATGTAACATGTTGGGAAAGAACTTTTTTGTAGTTCTACAATTGTTAACTGGTACCCAAATGCAAGGCATTTGGTGCTAAGTAGCTAATATGCTAAAGTGCCCAAAATTTCGTGCCAGGGTCCTCTTCATCCGCCTTTATAGAGAGACAGAATTGGATATACTCTAAATAATTACTACTTCAGCCCCTCTGTCTTTCCATCCAGTCAATAGGAGAATGATGGGTTTAGAGAAAAGTGTGTCTAGAGAAGTCTCTGGTCCCTGTGCTTAGCTTGGCCCATATTTATGAGCTTTCCATTGGCAGAAGATTGTGCAGACAGTAAATGGACTTGAGCTGCCTTGTCAATACCCCACATAAAAGAGCTGCCCAGTGGAAATTAGACAGTCCTGTGAATGGAGTGTTACTTAAATTAATCATCTGAAGACTTAGGAATAAATCAAAAGTGTGATAAGAGAAATATTGGCCTATTTGAAAAATGAATAAATTTCCTAATGACTTGAATAAAAACTGCAAGGTAGCAAAGGGGTTAAACACACTGAGAGACAGAATAGAGTGCCTTCTAAGCCACAGAAAGACTTTAAAATTTCTGCCAAGGGTAATCAGAAGCCATTCATAGATTTTTAAGAGGAGAATACTGGGATCCAAGTACTGCCTTAAGTCATGCAGCCTGTTACTGTGTGGAGAATGGAATTACAGTGAAAATTTGGGGTGATTAATTAGGAAAGTACTACTGTAATCCAAGAGAGTTTGGATGAATCCACTAGAGTATTTCTATACTTCTATGCAGAATTACTGCAGGAGACCCAGGGCTATTCTAAGTGTATTATAACTTCATTGGCAGATTTCACATGTATGAGTATATAAATACATTAGAAGAATAATCATGTATACTGGCCTTTTCTCTTTAAGAGTGGAATACAAATAGTGTTTGAGTATAATTTTAAGTTTTGTAAATAGTAGAGTCACTAAGTATTGTATGGGTATGCATTCAATACCAACTATAAGAAGGTAAATTCACTCCCACTTCCCAAATAAAATGCAGAAAAATATCCATCCCCACCTCTTAGGTGTGTGATGAAGATTAAATGGATGACTATATGCCTCATATATGGGTTTAGCACAATGCTTGACATATAGTGAGTGGCCAATATACATCATTGGATTAAATGGAAGACTAGAAAGTAAATTGTAGGATGTCTCAGCTTACATACACATTGTTGAGGATCTCCCATGCCCATAGCCTCTGAAAGTGGCTGTCTTCCCTAGGTGACCAAACTCAGAGCCTTGCAGGTTATCACTCTGCCATGAGTGAGTTCTGTATCTGAGTATCTCCTCACCAAAAAGGCAGAACACTTCTCTTGACCTGTGTCAAAAAAAAACTCTATTCCCAAAGCTTTTTATCAGTCAAGGAAGAGCTTCCTCTTTTACTTTTTGTGTTTGTGTTGGAATAACACACCATTCTATTTTTATATCAAGGAATAAATACCTAATAAGGGAACAAATGAACTCTTTTTCAATTTCTAGCAGGCTACACTAACATCTAAATTTTCTCAGTCTAATTTAGCCAAAGGGTTCATTTGTGGATTTTCCCAGTTTTTCTTCTATTTCCTCCCCATTTTCATGATATGACATATTTCACAGATGAACAACAAGTCTAAGACAAAGTTTTTTTCAGGGTTTACTGTATCTATTTTCACTTTGATGGGCATTTTAAACATTTACATGTACCAGATAGTATTAGGAATTTTTGTAGTTTTTTTCATTTCCTTCACACAGTAAATATTTGACACAGATAATCATATTTCAATTTTAAAGGTCAAGGAACTAAGTTTTCAAGATGATTAACTTGTGGTCTGAGTGTAGAATACAGGCCTTCCAGATTCTAAAGCCAAGGTTCTTTTATATACACTGCTCTGCAATTCTAAAGGCAGAGTTCACACATAAACATTTCTATTATAACCATATTTATACAAGTAATTAATTATAGTAGGCCAGAAAAAAATGCATGTTTAACTAAGGTATTAAAAATCTGCAGAATAACTCATAAGTGACTTCAACTGGAAGGAAGGGCTCCTGTTAATTACAGGTTTCAAACTCAAATGGCTCACAAGTGCCTTCAGCCAATCTAAAGCACTAAGGATGAATAGGTGTGGACTGTGTGAAGTGGAAAATGGGAAGTCCTGCTAAAGATGGCAGAGACTGTTTAGTCCAGGCTGTTAAGAGGAAGGCTGGCATAGATTCCAAAGTATCTGATGCTAATGGATGCTCCCACACACTCAAATATTTATGCATAAGCCTCCAAGATTTCAATATTGGAATATAATTCATTTTATTTTTTGAAAATTGAAGAATGATCAAATAGTAGTTGATGTAAATATTCAGCCCAAAAATCAATAGAGAATCACTTAGACTTGCAGACTAATTTTCTTCAGCAGAGAAAGAGAGATTCTATTTTAGAGCTCTAGTTGTTGCAGCATAACATTGTGTAGAGTTCAATCCTTGGATGACTGTTTTCCTCACTTTTAAACATTTGACCACACAACCACTTCAAAAACTTGTTGAAGTGGCTCACATTTTAAATCTAAAAGCTTTGGAGAACCTCACGATCATGGAGTTGGAACATTGGGTCCCATGCCAGTTAATATTCATCAGTGAAAGACATTGTGGAAGTACTTCCCCCGAGTGAAAATTTATTTCCACAATTTTTATATATTATAAAATATTAAAAGTTTTTAGAATAAAGAAGATAGTGACACTTGGGAATTAAATATGCTGTTTTATCATCAAATTTTCAAATTAGTTTATAGCTCAAAGCAAGAAAGACAAGAAAGTAGTTGAGAAATTCTGAAATTAAAAAAAATGATTTTATTTCCTTATACAATGTGGGGAAATATTATAAATTTTAATATTTTTAACAATCTCACTGATATGCATTTATAATATTTACTTCAATAAAGTACATATCCATTTTATGGTAAAACAAGTTGGAATTCCAAACTTCAAAACCTTCAGAAAGACCTAAATTATACAGTGTACAAAATACATTATAAACATCTGGTTCCTGTTGTAAATACAAATTTTAACTTTTATAAAAATGCAAAAACAAAATCAATATTTTTGTAAGAATTATTTCAAGTACTATTGGCTATCATTGAATCTAAAAGTTTTAGGATACTTTGACTAAGTTCTTACTTAAACTTCTTCCTTATGATGATAAATTGGTTTTGGTACTAAGATAAAAAATTATCACTTATTACTTAATATTACAGTGCTATACCAGTTGAAAATGTTCTGTAATAAAGATATCAAATTGGTTGGTGACCTCAAATTCTATAAAATGTGGCTTTTAGAATATAGGTTATTAAGAAATATTGAAATTATATTCAGTTTTAACTCTACATAATTAAAATAGTACTATTTAGTTTAGGGATTTTTTTCTTAGGTTTTAGTACCTTTTTTCTGAAAAAGGAAAATAAGAGCTCAGGAGAGACATGGTAGTTCTGAATTATAAGTCATCATATAGAGATAATTCAGCACACCAAAATAATAAGTGATAAGTGGACTGGTTGATATTCAGTGTTAACTCCTAAAGTTTAATTTCACTCTTGCTATATTACAACTTAAAACTACAATCCTTATTTCTCAGAGTTGGTAGCATAAATTAAACTCTGATCATTCAAATTGCTTTTTATATAATTAAATCTTACTGTCTTGTAAAAATGACTTATTCATGAAAATCTTCCTTTGTTACCCAAGGAAAAAAAATGCTACCATAAGTCACACTCCATTTCGGGAGCTGTGAAAGCAAAGCAGAGAAACAGCAAGTTGAAACTTAAAAAAAATGTTCAATAGTGTACTTTTGAAATTTTTTGCATCTATTCAGCAGTTGTATTTTACATCTTTGGGATAAAGTGGAAAAGGATATTTTCATTCATAATTTTTATTCACAGTTATGATTGCTTTTGAAAAGAGAAAACAAATTTATTCTAAAACAGAATGAACAGAAAGCATATTTCAGTAGTGAAATATCCCAAATTTCTCATTCATAGTTGAAGGAAATGGGGGACGAGGGGGAAGAGGTGGGGTGAGCAGTGAGACGTGAAGGACAAGTGGCAGGCCTGCCTGTCACCGAAGCTGATAGCTTGGCGAAGGTTGTACATCATCTACCCTTCATTGGCTCATGAAACCCATCTCAGCTAAAATGCAAACGTGCAGGATGACACATATATTTTTCATCTTCAATCCTGATAGTTTTGGGCTTCCTGTACATCATTAAATTGTTTCATTTTCCTATGTTCACTGCAGATGTGCTGCCACCGGTTCCAGGCCAAGGGGATAAAACAGCAACAATGCTCTCAGATGGAGCCATTTATAGCAGCATTGACTTCACAACCAAAACCACTTACAACAGTTCCAGCCAAATAACACAGGCTACTCCATATGCCACGACACAGATCTTGCATTCCAACAGCATACATGAATTGGCTGTCGATCTGCCTGACACACAATGGAAAAGCTCAATTCAGCAAAAAACAGATCTGATGGGATTTGGTTATTCTCTTCCCGATCAGAACAAAGGTAACAATGGTGAGTCAGGTTCTTATTTCCTCAGGATTTATTTCCATATCATTTATGCATGAGATAGAAATTAGTACTTGTTGTTCAGCTTAGTGATTCATTACCAGGTTCACTTTCTAAACTAAAAGCATATATCAGCATGTATTCAGTACCGTGCACAATTCCTGTCACCACCACCACCCCACCACTGCCACCGCCACCGCCACCACCACCGTTGCTACTACCTAACACCAACACCAATCAGTTTCATCCTTTTAGCTCTTTTTTCAATAGCGTGATCAGTAATCCATCTTGACTTTCATTAGGCAGGATAGACAAAACATTCCTCCACTGTCCTCCAACATCTGCTTCTGAGTTGCTAACTGCATGTTCTGCATGGGCTTGTGCTATGGACTAATCACATAATACCACTATGACCTCTGCCCTTTAACCTTTAGCCTTACTTTACATCCCTGACTACCGATTGGCTGAGGGATTGTCTAATAGAATGCCACACAACCAGTCACAGGATTTCAGCACCACCAGCTCTCACAACAGCTCAGAGAGGAGTGGCAGTCTCTCAGGTTGGTCTCATCACAGTAAGGAGAAATATTTGTTTGTCACCAGCATATGACCTGTGTTCCTAACAACCATAAAGAAATACTGAATCACAACTTGCTATCAGGCATTTGTCTTTCAAATGACAATCTGGTTTATCCTAATGAAATCATGCTTGCGTGTGGGGATAAAAATCACTGTCACCCTTTATGCACTAGGTGTACAAGGATATATTTACTAAAAAATGGTGCCATTTTAATAAATACTGTTCAATAAAGAACAGATGTATTTGATATGCCTTGAGCCATACTTCAGCATCACACAGGAAGTCACTTATATGGTATTGACACTAAAAAATTAGTCCAACTAAAATATAAATGATTTTGGAGAATTCTCATATTAGGATTTCACTGATGTGCCTTTTTATTTTTGAACAATCTTTACAAAATATCATGTAATAAGATGTATTATCTATTAAATGATATTTAAAGTAAGGTGCTGATACCATACTAAACAAGAATGTTAATATTAGACATTATTCTTCAGATTTAATTTCTCCCCCAAATACAGTCTTTTATGTTATGAATTTTACCATTTTACTAATGGAATGAATTTTATTATACACTTAAGATATATCAGCCAAACTAACAACTATAATGTTGGGATTATGTAGTGCATGTGGGAAAAACACATTTTACTGAACTGAAACATACACCTATCATAAAGGACCCTCACCTCTAAAATGTAGAGTTTAGAGTAGACACCCTCTAATTTCCAACCATAACATGTACATTGTATGACTGATGACTTTATCTGCACATTTCTAGCTAATTCCATGACCTCATTTGCTTAATTTTTCATGTTAATGATATCCCATTTGTTTTTTTATCAAGTTTTTTTTAAACTACAGGTTCTTAGTAAATGATTACAGTGTGTTATATACTATAAAGAGTTAATTCTTTCACATAATTAGGGTAACATTTACTAAGTGACTTTTCCTCAAGAGATAGAACCCTTTCAATCTGAAAATGTTAATGTTCTTTTTTTCCCTCTAAAATGAGCTATTTGCTCTTCTTACCTATTGGTAGAATTAGGTACATTATAGAATCCACAAATTTTTGAACATCTGTTATGAATTTAAACTAGCTTAATAAAATAGATGACTTTTTAAAATAACCTTATATGTCATTTATACTGTCATTTATTTATAATGAGTCTCACAATTGCTCTGAATAATTAAAGTGATTTATCTTAGGCTTATTTCATTCAAGATATATGGAGTCTCAAGCAATATACATATAAAAATATCTGCATGTTATAAGCCATGGAATACATAAGATCTGTGAATCCTTCATAAAATATTCTGTATATGTTGATTGCCACCAAGTTTTAAAAGTTATCTTGTGAGTAATTGTAAGCAAAATATGATTCACAATAGTACTTACTTCTTTTTGAATTCATTAATCTCCTGAGTGACATTTATATATATCTGTGCATTATATTAACTACCTCATCTACATTTGAATACAAAATCACTTAAATCAGTGATAGGAAGCATTCTTTAGGAGGTGGAAATGAATTGATTATTCCCTTTTTAATTCAGTTCAATTGAGTTCAATATTATAGAGTTTGTTTTATTCTTATAATCAAGAGTATGTTTTGTAAGGCTTAAATTTAGGATCAAACTGCCTTATATCTATCTAAGCATATCATAAAATTTCTTAATTTGTGCATGGTGATGAAACTAATTTAAAATAAGTATAGTAATGAAGAAAATTTCATTTCAGAATTGCTTGAATGAATTTCTCACCCTTTTAAAAGAAATTTTATATTCTGTTCAATATATATTACAAACACTTCTGTTAACTATCGCTATTTTTTATTAAAAATATAAAAGCAAGCACCACAGGTTCGATTCCCAGTCAGGGCACGTGCCTGGGTTGCAGGCCATGGCCCCCAGCAACCGCACATTGATGTTTCTCTCTCTCTTTCTCCTCCCTTCCCTCTCTAAAAATAAATAAATAAAATCTTTAAAAAATATATATAAAAGCAAACTCAAATCTTTCAAAAATCATTTGCATTATAATTGCATATAATATATACATGTATATATAGCACTATATGAGCATCAATAACTAAGTCTTTTTATACAGCAGTATTTTTTAAATAGACTACAAGTTTAACTTGAAAATGAGCTGTTTTCATAACTTTCTTTACACACAAGTCATTTGTTCAGCATAAACAAATGTAAACCCAAATATTTGCATTTTATGTTGAAGGGAGATGGGTCAAATATATTTGCAAGTCATCAAAATACATTTTTCTAAAATTAAATTTGGGTACATCTCACTGTAAAATGCTTGAGAATCTTTGGTTGTAATTAACAGCAGCAAATTGTGGCTCACTTAGCTCAAGGTTTAGATCTCAGATAAAGGATGTAATTTCCTTAGTTTATATCATATGTCTACCACCATGCTAAGAGCCCTTCTGTCTTAGTTGTTGCTACAGGAGACAAACTGTGTTGGTTGATAGTCCTACCAAGGCTGTCCACACTAAGAGAGCAGAAATTTTCCCCAAAAAGATGTATATGGACATTGGATGGAAAGCCCTAACAATGTCCTTCAATAAATCAGCTCTGTTTCCACGACACATTTTTAAGTCTGTTGCCTTGAGAGTCGATAATGGCTTTCTTGACCTTGGGTAAGGACTTCAACAGAGTTGGATTCAGAGCCCCGGAAATAGTAATTTCCCCAAAAGCTGCAACACTTTAAATTGTTTTTTCTTACTGTGTGAATATGGACCACATAACACTCAGAAAGCATCTCTACTTTCTCATTTATAAAATAAAAATATAAGAACTCACTTATTTGTGTCACTCGTTTCTGGTGGTGAGCATGTAACATTTGTAAAAGCACTAAGAAAAATGTAAAAGCATTGTGCATATATAAATATAAGGAATAAAGGAGGCACAACTAAGGGAAAAGCTATGAAGGACACATGGCCCAACCTATTCCTCTTTTAATTGTTGAAATATACCTCTGATACTGTAGGAAAAACCTGGCCCTTATTTGTGATGTGGGTGGGTTATCAGGAAACAAAATATTAAGGCTCATCCATTGTAAACAGAAAAGTTAGAGACCTGGATTCAAACAAGTTTATCTGTCTTATTCGGAGAATCGGGGTATTTCTGAGATACTCTTTGGAATTGGAGGAATTGAATGTGACAAAGGCTATAGCAATGGGTAGAACCAGGTTTTTTTTCTGAGACAAAGGCAATGGGAAAATAGTAATTATTGATATTTACTGGGCATTCTCCACACTCTGAGCCCTTTACATTCATTATCTCTTGAAATCTTCAAAATAGCCTGAAAAAGTAGAAACTGTATATCTACTTCACAGGTGTAGAAATTGAGATGGTATCTATTGATTAAATTATCACATAATTGAGAAACTAATCTTGAAATCCAGAGATCAAGCTCTTATCCTTGAAGCAGAAGATACCTGCCCTCCTTGCTCTAAATACCTTTCATTCTGCCAAAGATAAATCAACAAACAACAAGTGCTAGTGTAGATGTGGAAAAAGGGGAAATCATATGCACTGTTGCTGGGAAGGCAGAGTGGTGCAGCCACTGTGGAAAGCAGTATGGAGATGCCTCAGAAAATGTAAAATGGATCTGCCATTTGACCCAACGATCCCACTTCTGGGAATATATCTGAAGGAACACAAAACATCAATTCGAAAGAACATAAGCTCCCCTATGTTCATTGGAGCATTATTTACAATCACCAAGATATGGAAGCAGTCCAAGTGTCCATTAGTAGATGACTGGATAAAACAATATGGGACATTTATACAATGGAATACTACTTGGCCATAAAAAAGAAGAAAAATTTTACCCTTTGCAACAGTATGGACAAACCTGGAAAACATTATGCTAATTTAAATAAGCCAGTCAGAGAAAGACAAATACCATATGATTTCACTCATATGAGGAATCAAATGAACAAATTGAACTAATAAGCAAAATGGAGACAGCCTCATGGATGGAGAGCAGATGACAGCTTGTGGGAGGGGAGAAGTTAGGGGCAGAGGAATTGAGCAGAAAGTAAAAAAAGGACTCATGAACACGGACAACAGTGCGGTGATTGCTGAGGGGAGGGGGTATAAGGGGACTAAAGGGTAATATGAAAAAATATAGTAAAGATTAAATTTTTTTAAGTGAAAGCACTTTGCAGGGGTGCTCTTTACATAAGTGTTTATATGTGCGCATTACCTAGAATTATTGACATAATTCTGTTCTTGTCAATAGTGCATATGTCCAGTTTAATAGTTTCATCATTCTATGACACTCAAAGAAGTTATTATGAAATCACATAACTTTCTGAATTGCCTGATGCAGATTAGTAGCTAGAAGAAAAGAGCTGAAGTAGACTTCTAGTGGTGTCTCAATTGGTAGATAACCCTGATGCAAATATTTATTACAACTTTTATTTCCAGAAAGAAGAAATCCAAGGAGTCAATACAATTTTTTTGGAAGCACAGCTACAGGCCTAAGTGGGAGTGGTGGAAGTTCCTTAGGTTCCCCTTAATCATCCTTTCTCATTCTTCTCAAGAACTATTTTTCCTGCATCCCCCTGTGGTCCATTTATAAAGAAATTGTATATATTAATTTTTGGACTAGAAAAAGTTTGGCTGGCACTTTACAAATGATAAGTTTTATTTTATATTTTATTAAGCTCCTATAATTCCAGTGTGGCCTATATGCTTTCTGCTCATGTTTGGTGCATGAAGTCATTTGTGTTACAATAGTACTGAAATTGATTACTGTATTTCCATTCATTCTCCTTCCTTTCTGGGATGTTAGGAAACATTATGCCTAAAATATCTGGGAGCTACTCCCACTGTATGCAAAAATAATTGTGCTGTTCATTAGTTAAAAATTCCATGAAACATATTAGTGTGGAGGATTTACAACTTATCCTCTGGTGTAGTTGATTGATTTTTATCAGTTATTTTTGAGAGAAAACCCTTATTCTCCTGGATTGATTAAACTGAGTAAACTCGAATGGAAAAGGTTAGCCTGTATCCTTGGACACTGCATTTGCTACAGAGATTATGCAAAAGAGCATTATATATGCACTAAAATCTGACATTTGAAAGAATTTGTTATGGCCCATTTTTTCATCTGATGATGAAAACATGGAGGCAACAGACATGAATAATCCAATAAATCTGCTTTTCCTAAGGCAGCCATGTTTTGGGTTTATTCAACTGTGCAGGTAATACTTTGGGAAAGAGACAATGTCATTTTGATTATATCATTTCATTGTTTTTCTGATTATGCCATTTCACTTTTTTATAGCTTTTAACAACTACAACCCCTACTGATTCTGGTGTGCTGAGAGCATAAATATATCTTTCCATCTGATGTACTTTGTTTCTTCTGATATTTGGTATGTCTGAATAAATGCATTATTATATTACTTTCAGGTGGGAAAGGTGGAAAAAAGAAGAAAAATAAAAACTCTTCTAAACCGCAGAAAAACAATGGATCAACTTGGGCCAATGTCCCACTACCTCCTCCCCCAGTCCAGCCACTTCCCGGTACAGAGCTGGAACACTATGCAGCTGGACAGCAAGAAAATGGGTAACAGTGTTTCACATCCTAATGCAACACCCAGGGCTTTGCTCCCCTCTCCATTGCGTACATATGTCTTTATCCTGTGTTCTCTTACTGTTTTTCCTGCCCTCTTGCCAGGCTTTTCACTACTTCTCCACGCTTTTATTGTTGACACCATCTATATATTTCATCTGATAAACACAACAAGGCACATACTGAGGACCTAGAATCCTTGGCCGTCAAGTGCCTTCGATTGTCTGCAATCATGATAATACAACCTCCATTTACAATATTGCTTGTTAGTTTGAAAGCAAGTACCCACAGCTCTGTGAACTAAAGAGCCACTCCTGAGAAGAGCTGAAAGGGGAATTAAAATAACCTTCTTCATCGTCCCTCACAGTTCTCTAATGACTTGATGTCTGGCCTTAGCAGGGCGCCCACTGTTGAGCTCCATCACAATGGGGTAATTGTAGGGACCTGGCCAGTGGGTAGAACTTTAATCATCAGCTTTGATGGGAACTTAGGAGCCTGAACAATAAAACAGCTTCAAGCCAATGCACAGTCTATGGCAAAACCTTTTTAAGTTAGAAAATTTCCTTTCAGGGCCTTTAAATATGACTAGTGCCCTTATTCTTTCCCAAACACTTCACAAGAGTCAGTTTTCTTCTGTTAGTTGTAGTGTTAATTGATTTTAAAGCAGAAACACATTGATACAGTTTATTCTCTCATCCAAAAACAAATAAAATAACAAGTCAAAAGAAATATACTGAGTCCATTTTTATTTTCTTTTATTTTAGTATTGGTAACTGCTCTGTCTTCCTCTCAGTTTCCAAGGTCACCATTGTGTTAGAATAAAACTGAAAAATACAGAATAAAGAGTTTTTCTTTTTCCCAAGTTTCTTAATTTGGACATTTTTAGATATCAAAATACTAATATTAAACCTTTAATGAGACATTAAAATTCAGTCTATTTGAATAATGGTATATTTTCTGTATTGTTTCATGTAAAGATCACATGTACATACTTACATCTTTTTCTCCATCTTCTTTTCTTTTTACATTACTGCTGTCTTTGAAGTCTCCAGATTGATTTTTCCATGTCACAGCACTTGCATCCATCAAAAGACCTTATTTGTCTTTTCTTCCAGTTAGGTAATACACATATGTACATATAATAACCCATTATATTCACAGATATATAAGTACAGTTATACATATATACACATATGCACATTTCTGTGTTTTTCTCTACATCTTTCTTTCCCTCCAAAGGGCTTCATTTGCTTCTATGGGATTATAGTTCCCATATATATGCATATCATTATTTTTTACTTTTAAAAAATAAGTTTACACTTGAAATAAGAAACTCACAGCACACCACATTTCTCTGACTTAAAAAAACTAATAAAACTCTGCATATGACCTAATGTCATTCCTATTGGTAAAATAAATGTGCCAGTGTTACAGGGGCACATTGACTGTGTTTCTCCAGGCAAAGAAACACCAGAGATGTATTCCACAGCAAAGAAATTGTACGGGGCTCAGAAATCTTCACTTTAAAGGCTGTTCTCAGAAAGGGGGGAATGGAACTTATAAACTGGGAAGAGAAACTAGTACTATTAAATATGTGTAAGCATGAAGTTTTGAATTCAGAGCACATGAAAACTGTTGATAACTTGGGATCTTCTTATTCTTTTCACACTAAGTCTACTTTAAAAATGCAAAGACTATAATAGTACCTGTTACCAATTGGGATAAAACTTATTCATTCCAAATAATTGCTATACTTCTCACTTATTTTGTTGCCCAGCAGCAAAATTTGAAATATTCGTTTGTTAATAAAATAATACATGATGGTTTAGATACAAATTATTTTCAGAACATCATGATATAAAATTATTTGTAACTATTTGGGGAATGCAGATCACTTTAATATTCAGCCAGAATGCATTATATTAGAAAATCTTTTTTTCTAAAATATTTCTAAATATCCCTCGATATTCTAAATGAGTAGAGAAAAATATTTGTTGATTATATGTATTCAAAATCTCTGGGCATGTATGTAGCTTTGTTCTAATTACCTTTGAGTTATTTGTCTTAAGTATTTGTATTTCCTGAACAAATGTATCACTCTTTAACTGAAATAGTAGTTAAGTCTTAACCTATCAGTAAACTGACAGCAAAATTTAACTTCTGTATTCTTTGGACTTTTTTTTTTAAAGAGTACTTCAAAGTTCTTATTACAATTGTTTGTAATGAAAACACATTTAAAGTCAGTGTGATGAGAATAAGTTAAAATGAGTAGATTTTGGAAGGCTTGCCCATTTCTTTGTATTGTCTTCATATTTTTATGTTTTCTAATATGTAACTTTGTAACACTGAAAAGGAAAGATGTTTTAACACTTCCTAAATTATTTATACTGAGGTTATTATTGAATTTTTACAGAAGACATCTTCTATAAAATTATGTATATGCCTTGATTTGAAACTTATTCAGGTTAAAGAATTTCTTGAAATACAAACAAAAACTTTACAAGTCACCTTTTTGTTTTTAATAATTTTTATTTTGAATAATCAAGGATTCTGAAATTTTACTTCATATGGTGATACATTGTTTTTGTTGCTTTTAACATATACTACAGACCTCATTCAACACATTTCTTTCCAAGTACATTAAAAGTACTAAGTGCAGTGTTAGAAAAGAAATCCTTGGAAATGAAAAAAAACAAATACAAAATTAGTAAGGAAGGTCTTATCCCTGACCTAGGGAGCTCACAGGAGTGGGAGGCAGAGACCAGAAACCACACACACCGTGCACACGGCACACACATTATTTTGTGTAACAAGCCCTGGATGAGCAATGTATATACAATAATAATTTGTATACAGGAAGGGATAATCAAGTGTGCCAGGTAAGGCTGAGGCGATCCTATAGAAGTTTAATTTTGAGATGACTGAATCTTGAATTATTTATTTACAAATAATAGTGTCCAGAGTTGGGTGGTAGTTTCATGCCAGGCTCAGAGTCAGAAGCAAAAAGGACAAAGAAAGTGAGAAACAGTCTCTCACATAAAGTAACCTATGTGCCAGAATAGATTGTTAACCAATGACTACCAAGAAAAAGTTAGTAATGTTGCCACTTGATATACAGACAAAAAGAAAATTTTCTAGCCAAAGGCAAAAGAATAAAAATAAATTAAAGAGGAGAAAATAAAGTGTTAGCCCTTTGGTACTGCCCACTCTTCTTTGGAAACCTCACCATATTCTAGTTAATGTTATTTGCCTTTTCTTTATTTTTTATTACTCTTTAAACTTATTCCTCTATTGTAGTACTTTCAGATTGCATTCTAATTGTTTGTCTGTCTCTTTCCCCAACTGATAGCTTTTGTGTGAGGTTCACTGAGTTTGAAATGTGCACAGGGTAGGTAATAATCAGAGAAAGTGTCTTGAGGACAGTTCTGAAACCTTGTATGTGATAAAGGATTCTGACCTCTGGGTATAGATGATGCATCAGAGGACTTGAGGCAGCCATAAAGAATGGTATATTGTAGCAGAATGGCTAATATCATGAAAATGATAAAAGAATAAAGGAAGGCAATCACAGTGGAGTGGAAGTACAGGGATAGATCTTGCAGGTACACCTAGCCAAGAATAATCACAATCTCGAAAAGGTTGTATCTTGTTTTTCATTACAATGTTTAATATTGTTTCTAAGAATTTAGATATTATCAATTTTCCCAACCTTTTCTTGGATCCCCCATGCCTACTGCACTAAATATAAAAATTATCAAATCACTGTCCAAATGGAGAATGTATTTAATTTTTAAGTTGTAACTTAGCAACAATAGTAAATGGTCTCTCATCAATATGCCTCTCTCAACTGGACAAAAATGTTTCAAATATATTCAGGGGCTTTTTTTTGCTATAAATATAATGCATTTTTAATATAATCCTAAAATGCTAGGAAGAACGTAGTAGTAGTTCAGTAGAAAACTGATGCTCTGCTTTGTAATACATTCAAAGGCTGGCAAGCTTTTGTGGGTGTTGAACTTTATTGTATTTTATTAGTAATTTGGTATTTGTATTTGGCCTTTAACAAGTTAGTTCACATGCAACATTGATTTGTTGTCATCTTTCTCATTATTCATGGGCACGACAGGCAGTATGATGCCTCACACTTCACTGATAATAAGTCAAAGAACAAAAGCTTCTCTAGAAAAGGTTGCTGAAAAGAACCTCAGTTCAGCATTAGAAGCATTTGCATGGTCTTTTGGATGTTAAGTTGAAATTTCATCACTCGAATGAGATACATATTCATAAATGTGAAGAAAACTCTAAAAACAGATCTACAATTTTCATAACATTTATAGAGACATCTGTTATCTGTTTCTCTCTTGCCCGTCTTCAGAAATGGCATGGAATCTAATTATTTGTTGTTCTAGAGCAGATTAAGTCAGAAATAACACAGAGATGAGCAGTTAGTTACCCCCATCATACCATATGCACCAGGTCCAAAATTTCTTTCATCTGTTCTCTTATGTTCTTCTCCTAGTCTTTCTTTCACTCCCTCTATTTCTGTTTTCCACTTCTTGCACAAACCATTGACTAACATGAATCCATGGACTTTTCTCAGCTTTGCTTATGTTTCATGGGGACACAGAGTTTGTTCACTTCTGTCCTAGATTATCTTTGTAGAAGACTAGAAAAATTGATGGAAAACACCCATTCTAGTTCAGTGAAATAGCTATTGAAATACTTTTTAGTCATGTAATACATTGTGGAGTATATATGTATGTGTGTATTCCAGAAGGTATCCAGCCATGTAACATGAACAATGGGCACATTTATTGAAGAAGGTACAAAATATAAGAAACATTGTACATAAGACTGTGACACCTCAGTCCCCTTCAAAGTAGGCACCTTGGGACCTCACGCAGTTCTCTCAATAGCCATCAGCTGCCCTATTGTATTTTCCTGAATCTCATCACCAGTCTGAAATCTCTTCCCTTCCAAAGGTGATTTTAGTTTTGGGCAAAGCCAGAAGTTGCAGGGTGCCAAATCTGACCTGTGAGGGGGCTAGTGTCCAGGTGACTTGATGTTTTGCCAAAAAACTAGGCACAAGATGTGATGCATGAGGGAGCATGTTGCTGTGATGAAGCTACTGATCACCAGTTGCCCATAGCTATGGCCTTCTGAATCATCTGAATAGTTTCCACAGAGAAATGTTCAAACTTATGCAAAATTTGATGCAGATTTGTTCCTCTGCTCACTCAGTCATTTTGAATGCAATGGCCACACAGTACACAGGCTCTTCAGCGGTGTCTATTGTCCCCACTGACTAGTACAGTGAAGTCGCCATTGTTCCCACATACATTCCAGTCCACTCTCCTTGGCTGCCAGGTTACATCAATGTCATACAAACCATTCTTGTTATAGTAACAATGGCTGGACTTTTTTCCAGACAGACTTTATATATGTAATAATTTAAAGTTAAATAAGTTAAGAGAAGAAACCTAAGCATTTTTATTAATGAAGCAATTTATATGTTTTCATTTTAAATCAATAAATATATTTATCATCTACTATTTTTAAGATATTATGTCATGTGGCCAAACAAAAATAATGCAGTTTCATAACTTTAATGATGCTTAAGTCTACTTGAGAAAATACACTATTAACATGTGAAAGGTTAAATACTAAAATAAGTTAGACAATAGTTAAACAATCCAAGATTGGATATGGCATAAAACAATATATAATCAATTTTCAACTAAATGTGCAAAAATATCATCAGTAGAAGTTTAGAAGAGTCATATATCAGTGCTATTTGGCCTCATGATGAGAGAAATCTTTATAAAATATATAGGATTTAGCCTGTAGCTTGAAGGATTTTTAAGATTAAAATAGGTGAAATTGAAGAAGTTCAGTTTATTTGAAATAACTTGAATTCTTTAGACAATGTACCTGGATAGAAAAGTACAAAAAGAGAAGAAAGCAAACCAATTTATTTTGAGTAGGAGATTCTTGTTGAAAAACTGAAAAAAAAATCTGAAAAGGTAGATTGAGATTTAGACATTTAATGGACACGAGAGTGAAGAGCAGTGAATATTTTATTCAAAAAATTCTAATGTTTTCATAGACCAACTTTTAAGTGGTATACAGGGTTGGTTAGAGTATTCCTAAAACTAAAAACAAGAAATCCAAATGGCACAGTGGGTTACAAACATTTTACTCAACAGAATCTTTTCTTCAAGTGAAATCCATGATCTTCAACATATAAAACAGGAAAAATGGCATTTTTTCAGAGCAATGTGTTTTCTCGGGTTGGTATTTATGTAGTCAATTAATGGGAACACTACTTAGGGTTCAACCAAGGGTACTCCCTAGTATATAAATTTTTTATTTGTAACATATTAAAATATGCTTGTTTATGCTAAAATATAGATGACATTTCTAAAATAATATATCAATCAGGGATTCTGAAACAGTCTTCAGTTTGTAACACTTTGAGATAGAAGATTGTTCAGGTAGCTTCAACAAGAGCAGAAAATTGGACAGCCAAAGTTAATATTGTTTCCTGCACAAGACCTCGAAGTTAACTATCCATCACCCACAGGCAAACTTCCAAACTCTTCATCAGAGCTGGTGAGGCCTGCTGCGAGCTGGCTCACCCTCCCTCCCCTCTCCTGCCTTGTCTGTGGCCAACTTTCATTTGCCAACTCTTGCCTGTCAGGGAACTACTTGAATTCTCCAAATACTTGAACTTTTTTCTTTCTCCAGACCACCACATGTGGTACTTAGAATATCCTCTTTTCCCGGGGTCAGCATAGCCTTGCACAACCTCAACGCCAGTTTCAGCTCCCCACTCTTTGCTCCTATAGTATTCAATGTTGTTGATTATTTCCTTGATATCAGTGTGCCCCTTGATATTAAATTCATGCTCTGTGAATAGATCCTGTCACCTGACACATGATTGTTGAATGAAAGAATGACAAATTCTGTTTTTTTTAATAGACTATATTTTTAGGTTAACAGTAAACTTGAGCAAATAGCACAGATTTTGCATGTGCTCCCTGTCCCCACCCCCATGCATAGCCTCTGCTACTATCAACATCTCCCCACAAAGTGGTACATAGAAATGGCAGTGATTTTGTGAAACAAGTAAAACTTTTAGAATTACTTTTTCTATATTCCCTACCCAGAGTCCCTAAAAATATGCTGTTTTTAAAAAAACACTTTTTCCTTTTAATATACATTTTAAAGGGCTAGGTTTTGAACTTCTGTTTTATAGCTTTTAGGTCTTGAAATATAGGGAGACATGAGTTTCTACTGAGAAAATTGAGACTTATGAGAATCAAAGGGCTAATGAATAATTTTGTAGCATGAAGTCTTAATGATTAACATGTCTTATGGAATGAAAGTTGGCATAGTTCTAGAATAAGAGTGAATAAATTTCTCAAGCACTTCTCAAATGATCAACATAGGAATATTCTGTTGGTACACAAGCATGAACAGAAGAAAGTAGTTAAATCTACAAGTGCTAGATTAATTAATTGTCTTTAATTAGCACTTGATTTTTCCACATGAGTAACTTTGTTGGGAAGTTATTGCCTTTTGTAACTGTGGGGTAACACTTAAGTAATAAGATCCTTTAAAAGTAAATTGACATATATAAACAAAAGATGTAATTATGATTAGAAATTAAGATAACAGCCAGGTGATTTATTATGGTAGCACCAGCAATGTAAAATAGGAGGAAATAAACTGAGGGAACAGTTTAGATACTGTTGTTACTATTGCGGTTGTTTTTTGTTGCCAGTATAATTGTCTATATGTATGCGTGTATGTGCAAATGTGGTTTTTTTTCTAATTTAATTGCAGCTATGACAGTGATAGCTGGTGCCCGCCATTACCAGTACAAACATACTTACACCAGGGTATGGAAGATGAACTGGAAGAAGATGATGATCGTGTCCCAACACCTCCTGTCCGAGGAGTGGCTTCTTCTCCTGCTATTTCCTTTGGACAGCAGTCCACAGCAACTCTGACTCCATCCCCACGGGAAGAGATGCAGCCCATGCTGCAGGCTCACCTGGATGAGTTGACAAGGGCCTATCAGTTTGACATCGCAAAGCAAACATGGTAAATATCCTCATTAGGTCAGGGGGGTCCTGTGGTTTCAAAACATGGATAGAGGAAATGTTCTTTTATACTAAATTCACAAGAGGTTCTCATGGAACTATACAGCTGGGGTTAGAAATTTTTTTGTACGACTTTTTAATCATATGGAGAAGGAAATTGATGGAAGAAATCTTAAATAATTTGAGCAAAGTCACATAACTCGTTAGAGTGAGTTGGAGCAAGAAGTTAGATCTGTTGAATTTCAGGCTAAAGTGCTTTTGGCTACACCAGAATCTTTTCTAATTTATAGTTTAACTTCTAATTAGCTTATCCTTGAACTCACTTCCAATACCATAATAAAAAACTCCTTTTAGATTCTTTAGACTGTCTATAATTAATTCTGTATGTGGTTGTGAATATATAAATGTAAGCTTCTACAGATCACATATGATCAGTGTCAGCTACTAAAAGAGCTTCTTTGGGCTTAAATAAGACAGGAAAAATGGTAATATTGGTAATAGTCAATGCATTAAAAACATAGAATAAATTACAAATCCCAAATTCCTTTATATCTAATAAATGTATACACTTACATAAGTAATAAATGGAAACCTTAGATATCCTATGAAAAATATGACAGAATACAAGTGGAAACAATCCTCTTATTTGCTCTCTCTTCTCCCAAATAGAAACATGTAAGTCTGACTCTTGAAAACAATATCTTGATGTCATCCCTTTAATTATCTTCTGTTGATTTATACCAATTGCTTGATGTTGGAGTAAATTTTTATGAAATAGTATTTGCTTCTTTTTAGTAGTTTCAACTACTGGGATAAGTTGATAATATGATGTCTTATTCAGTGCTAATGAACTATTTATTTAAAAAATACAGCTAAACATGTGCCATGGCTGGTGTGACTCAGTTGTTTGGAATGTCTTCCCATGCACTGTAAGGTCACAGGTTCAGTTCCTGGTCAGGGCATACACCTGGGTTGTGGGGTCAGTCCCAGTTGGGGTGTGTATGGAAGGCAGCCAATCAATGTCTCTCTCTCTCTCTCTGTGCCTCACTGTCTCCCTTCCTCTCTCTCTAAAATCAATAAACATATCTTCAAGCAAGGATTTAAAAAATAATGAAATAACATATATATAAATACAGCTAAATATGCAGAGACACTAAAACCAGAAATATTCACTTAAAGCACAGGTGGCAAACACAAGGCCCACAGGCCGAATCCTGCCCTGCACCTTGTATAATCTGGCCCTGTACCTTGTTTCTGCTGCATGGCAGCACTGAGCTCCTTGCCCGTAGTTAAAAAGCAGTTACATTTATGCAGTCCTAAAATTATATTCGGCCCTTTGAAGGCAACCACAAGACTGATGTGGCCCCTGGTGAGAATGAGTTTGACACCCTGACTTAAAACTTTTCACAAACATACGTTCTTTTCTTAGAATTGGAGATTCTTGAACATTTTTCTCAATTATCAGATTTTTTTTAAAGACCAAAGACAACCTACTTTTAAACAGTGTTATTTTGCATCAGACTGGTTTATGAAACACCACTATTTAATTTGAAGCCAGCTACTTTAAAACCCAGAATATTCACTTCCAGTTAACTTAATGAGCTGTGTGGTTTGGTTACTTAAAGCACAGATTCTAGGTCAGGGTTCTCAAATCGGACTGCGTTTTGGAATCACTGGGACAGCCTTAAACTATGTTGACAACAGGGTCTCCCCAAGGATATTCTGGTGGCCTGGTGTGGAATTGGGCTGGGGGCAGCTGAGGCTGGGACCACTGCCACTGCTTACTAGTTGTATGAAGCTGGTCAACTAGTTCCACATGCCTGGGTTCAGTTTCCCTTGGTGAGATGACGTTGGTAATAATAACTAGCTCACATAGGGAGTGAGAGGGCAGTCCCCAACAGCATCCTCAGGTTCAAGAGTTTGCTAGAAAAGCCACAGAACTCACAGAAAGCTATTATACTCAGTTATTATTACAGTAAAAAGGTACAGGTTAAAGTCAGCCAAGAAAAGAAATGCATGCGACAGAGTCCAGATAAGTTCCAAAGACAGAACTTGCACTTGTCCTCTCACAGAGGAGTCATGGAAAGAGTTACTTTCCCAGTGCAATGTGTGACGATGCGCAAGCTGTGTTACCATCCAGGGAAGCTCACATGGACATGGTTGACCACCTGCATGGCCGACCTCCATCCCCAGCCCCTCCAGAAGGCAAGATGATACCTTGTGACTCAAAGACACCCCCCCGCCACCCCGCAGTAAATCACATTAGACTTCTAGAGGAGCCTAAAGCCTCCAAGTAAACAAAGACATTTTACTAGACACGACATTCTAGAACTTAGAGATTACCTTTCAGGAGCATGCGACAAGGCCTAATTTCTCTTTAAGCCAGGATAAGTGTATTAATATAGATCACAGATTTTTTTTGAGGATTAAATGAGTTTGCATTTGCATAGTACTTCATAAAGAATCTAGTTATAGTATAGCTGTTATTACTCAGATAGGCTTGGGTGTTCACCTGAATTGTTCACTGCTGTTTATCCCTACCCTTAAAAAAGTCCTCACTTAGTGAGTTCTCCATAAACATTTGCTAAATGAGTAAACAAATGAGTGCATCTCCATCTGTTTCAGAAACCCACAGAGCAGGCCATGCTTCTTTTCTCAGTGTGTTTCTCCACAGTCCACAGTCCTCCAGAAACTGCTGCCTCCTCATGCTGGGAATATGAGACACCATGTGCTCACACAGGACCTTGCCCTTCTGGAATGGAAGCACCTCTCTTGGGCTGCACAGCAACATTGCATGAGAAACATGTACAAAATAATAATTCCCAGGCTTTGGCTCCAGGGAAGTTGGAGTTGAGCTGTTCATATGGAGCCCTGAAGTGCCCAGCACAGTGCCTAGGAGATGCTTATGAACGTTATGTCCTCTCTGTATTTCAGTGTATCTCTTAATTTTGTCAAACTCAGGGAGTACATTTTTCACCCCTTAAAGTATCTCTGTTCCATCCAAAGGTGTCAGCAGTGATGTAGGGCTAAGATGTTAGCCTGTTTGTCCTTCCCAGGAGCAAAGTGTTTCCTCATTACAGGAAATGAATCATCTGTATAAATACATAAATATCAGCCTATATTCTCTTGCTCACCAGTTGGCTCACTACATCCTTGATTCATAAACAGAATTTGAGGCAACACTTACAGCAAGGTGTAGTTATCAACACTGAAGGCTTTTTGTAAAAGTAGTTAAAAAACTTCCTGACTTTTCAAAGAATGAGCTGTGATGAATACAGAATAATAACATGAGACCTCAAATTCCTAATCAATTAAATTAAAGATGTAGGCCTGATGATATGGAGGTAAAAATGCGTAGCCCTTGTTTTACATCTCCTTAAATAGCAGAGGTCTTTGAAATACTTTGTATTGTGGCAAAAGAAAGACAAAGTGTCAAAGCATGTGGTACATTCACTCTCTAATGACAGTAGCAAATGCATTGTGTTTTCCTTTAGCATTTTATGGTTTAGAAGAAACTCTTCAATATGCACAAAGTAAACCACTGGACCCCAGTGTCCAGCTCTGCACTTTACTAACCATGTGATTTGAAACAAATCATTTAAATGGAACTTCACTTTAAATATTTGAAAAGAGAGTTTCATCTACTTTGCAAGGTTGCGATGAAAGTTATTCTTTCATCATGTTCTAAAGTCAGAGGGCTGAGATGAACCTTTTCTGCCATTCAGGTGTTTAATATGACTTTGGTGGGTGAGACAGACCCACAAATAAGTAGCTAAAATACAAAGAAATCATTCCTACTTTAAACCAGTTCAAAGTGAAAACAACTGTCCACCAGACTCATGGGTGGTACAGGAAGACAGCCTTGTGGGGCAGGGAATGTGCTCCTGGTTGGAGGCAGGGGGACTGGTAGTAGGTCTTTATGTGGCATCATTTATTCATGAGGGCCAGCAGTCACACAGGTGACACGAGTTGAGTAGAAATTCGACACTAAACTGGAAACAAAATTATTATATTCTTTTTGGACATAAAAAATCCAGTCAGCTTTAAATGGGTGATTGTGAAATACTTCTATTGCTCTTTGGAAGATTTATTTATACAAAATAGTGTTGGTTCTGTATTCTTTTTCTCTGTGTATCATCCCATGAACACCAAGTGAAGAGTGCATCAACCTATATTGTTGCTGCTGCTTTGGCGATCCTGTACTCATAGCACATTGCTTCAGCTAGAAGATGAGAAAAGACTGTGAACTCCAAAGTGAGGCGGTGGAAAACAAGAAGTGAAAACTGATTACCAGAGCATGCTGTTTAATTCTAATTCTAATTTTGTGGAATGCTGACAAACTTTTTTTTTTTCCATTTACATTCTAGGCACATTCAAAATAATAATCAACCTCCACAGCCCCCAGTTCCACCAATAGGTTACATGTCCGGAGCCTTGATTTCTGATTTGGAAACAGATGTTCCAGATGATGATGCTGATGATGAGGAGGAGGCTTTAGAAATCCCCAGACCCCTGAAAGTGCTAGAGCAGACACCTGGATCCAGTATGGACAACCTAGACAGCTCTGTGACAGGTAACAGGACTGTTTCAGTAGAAATAAAGCTGACCTATTTATAACATTAACATGCATCAAAAATCAAATATTTTCTTATGTAAGATTTATTCTACTCCATTTATTTCTGTAACATTTTAAATAGGTTAATATTAAACCCAAAATTCAAAAAGGATTTGGAAATACTTTTGCTTTGCTGCAAAAATGATAAGAAAATTCATGAATTTTAAAGAGCTTTAAAGACATGAAAGAAAACTCAATTATATCCAGAGCTTTCATGAAAAGTTCACTCTACTAGGGGAACCAAGTCTATTATATAAAAGCCTTGACGTTTAGAAATGATATATTTTGTATAACAGGAACAACATACAGAGTGAATACAATCTCAATATGCTTCTTGATATTTCACTTGGTAAAATCATTCATTGATGAAAATAAGCAAGTCTTCAGAATAAGTATTTCTAAGGGTGCATAGGTATTATTTGTAGAGTGGAGAAAATTTATAGGGTGATAAATGACACATTTATGCATTTCATATTGTTGGATCCAATAACTGCTTCTCTCTCCCTAGAAACATATTTTTGCTGTTCACTCCTCTGACTTCCTCTTGCCTCACTCACCAAGTGAATCTAGCAGGATGGTCTCAGTACTGAAGCCTGCTTCCAAGGACTTAAATTTATCAAATTATATTGGAAAAATTTAAATTCGAATATATACACAATTACTATGGAAAACAGTAAAAATTTAGTCTCTCTGTTTAAGTAGGTATCCATTCTTTGACACACATACACACACAAACGTGCATCTTGCATGGCTATAAAGACAGAACTGCTACAAATGTTAAGCGTGCCTTTGCATGTGTAATGCCAGAGGTCAAGCTCAGGAGTCTTGACTACTCTTCCCGATAAGCTGAAAAATCCACGAGGAGGACTGGGTGGAATAGTCATGGCCATTGTTACATACTCACATTATAGGGAGCCCTGAGGACAGAGGGGCAGAGGGCAGACCAGCAGGACTGCACCTCCCTTAGTGGGAGACTTATTTTAAGGGGGCCCAGACAAAGGAGTCTCGTGTCCTACATGTGACTACCTCATGTAAAGAAAAGGTCAAGAAGCAGTCACAGAACAGGAGGCCACTCCCAAAAGGAGATAAGGAGAGAGTTATAACCCATTTCCAAAACAACACACTTTCCTTTAGGTGGGACAGCCACTTTAATCACAGGTGGTGGAAGGAACCATGTCTTGAGCTACCCCACACATGTCATGGGGTCTTCTCAGAAAACCACCCACTTCTGTCTTTACCTTGATGATGTCCTTTACAGGAGGCATTGTTTCACAGTCTTACTTCACTCATTTTTGCAGCAACAGCTCCCCAGTTTGCACAGATTTTGCATTATGTGTTAGAGTTCAAAAAACACTGATGGAAAGTGCTTTATGGCAGTGATGGAGAAGCATGGGGCCTATATTTTCCCTCTGCATCCTTCCTGAAATATAAAATGTGTGATGCATGAGCCCACTTTTCAGTTTTTCTTCTTACCTGGAGGGCTGTCTGCTTGCCAGGCTAATTAAGATTTAAGAACTGCAGATATACTGCTGTGATTTGAAATCCAGATCTAACTAAAGGTGGGAGAGCAAAAGTGTACATCTTTGAATGTGGAGTGCAAACTTATTAGTACACTATTATGTTAAGCCCCTTTGCCTGAATTTCTAGCACAATCTCCTTCAGGGTAAAATTCTGCATATTTTTGCATATCTCACTAATGATACTGAACTCTTTTCCATTAGGAATGCAGTAGAAAATTGCAATAGTAGCACAAAAATGTCAGCTGTAGCCTATGTAGTTCTTTTGTTAAATGTTATAATTTCAAAGACAAAAAATATATCTATGAATCAGGTGAATGACATTTTTACTTTTACATGCCCACCTGTTAGTAACATGTTAGGCTGTCTAATGTGACTAGTTAAAACAATTTCCCCTTCTTCTTGTAGCTACTGTAGTGTTCATTCCAAATGAAGCTTTTATTGCTAAGAAAAGTCTGTTTTACTGCTTAATTCACTGCTTAATTACTGTCATATATAAAAACTTCTGGGTGTTTAGGTATGTATTCCATGATGGATTTATTCTATGAATAATACATCTCTAGTAAAAGGAGTTGCAATCTACACAAAACTAGCCAAATAAAAGAACTTTCATTCTTTCCCTCTCTTTTTCTTTCTTTCTTCCTTCCTCTCTCTCTCTCTCTCTCTCTCTCTCTCTCTCTCTCTCTCTCTCTCTCTCTCTCTCTCCCCCTCTCTCTCTCTCTCTCCCCCTCTCTCTCTCCCTCCCTCTCTCTCTCTCTCTCTCTCTCTCTCTCTCTCTCTCTCTCTCCCCCTCTGGCTCTGAAATGATTTTTTTGTGTGTGAAAGATGTGATCAAAGATTTAATTTGCTTTGTAGGACACTAGTGTGATATAAGTTAAAAATGAAAGTAAATATATTTTCTCAAAAATGGTGTGTGTGTAGAGAGTGTGCAAGTATGTATAGATGCATGTGTGTGAAGACAGGGTTTGTGATTGATTATGTGTAAATTGAGCATGTGTGAGTGCATGTAGGTATGTTTGAGTGTAAATAGGGTTATGAGTATGTTAGAGTATGTGTGTTGACGTGTGTATATGTGCACATGGTGATAGCCCTAAGGTAAATGTATGTCAGGATCAAATGTTACAGAAATCAACAATTGAAATGCTAATGAACATTATTCTGAAAGATTCATGTTTTCTTCAGACACTTAAGGCCACTGTAATGGTGCTAAATGAGCTGGGTCATAAAACAGACACTACTTCTACCTGTATTTTTATGTTTTTAAGATGGTGAGTACCTGCAGAGAGGACTCTGAATCTACCATAAATTTCTTTGAGTTCTAAATTTGTGTGGTGTGAATACGTAAATTAGTCATTACTTTCACCTGAATTCTCCGTTAGAGATTTTCATTTTTATGAACCTAATGACCATTTTTTATTAAATAGAACTAACAGTGATGTTTCATTCCCTGAAATCAACCAGAATGGTATTCCAATTATAACATAGAGATGGGCTACTAATCCTGTACATAAAATTATTCAGGATCTTGCTTGGATACATAACATTCCAACAGCGGCTATGTTAAGGAATATCAGCAGTTAATGAGGTATAGAGTCCATATTTGTAAAGAAATGAGTACATTAATTCCAAATATTTTCATAATGACTAAAAAATTTCTGAGGGACTTCTTAAATTCTGAGATAGTAGTTCATGAATGGCAAAGGCAAAGAAAAAGAAGAAAATACCAGTAGTTCCATACCTCGTGAAGTCTTTGTCTTAGTCGGCTATGGCTGTTATAACACAATACCGTAGATGGGGTGACATAAACAACAAACACTTACCTCTCACAGTTCTGGAGGCTGGGAAGTACAAGATCAAAGTGATGGCAGCTGAGGCTCCTAGTGAGAACTCTCTTCCTGATTTGCAGACAACTGTCCTCTCTGTATTCCGCACAGGGCCGCTAGAGAGAGGGCAAGCTCTCTGGCCTTTTTTGTAAGGTCACCAGTTCCATCGTGATGACCCCACACTCATGACTTCATCTAAATCTAATTGCCTCCAAAAGCCCCTCTTCTAAGTGCCATAACCTTAAGGGTTAGGGCTTGAATATGTGAACTTTAAGGAGATTCTAACATTCAGTAATGGAAAACGTATTTGCAAAACTATTATCTTATTTATTAATTCCCACAACAAACACTTGTTGAATGCCTGTGTCTTTCAACCACTTGGCTAAGGATTTAGATTCAATAATAACAACAACAATAATAGTAATTTTAACTTGCACATATATAACCCTTAGTAAGTGCAAAGCACTCTTATAAGCAATGACCTGTTGTGTGTGTGTATGTGTGTGTGTGTGTGTGCGCGCACGCATGCTTTAGTGAGCTATAACTGTTTCTTACATTTTAAAAAAGTTATACGAAAACAAGAAACAATCACCAACAGAGATCCTCATATGACAGAGAAAGCAAAGCCTAAAATATCTGGTAGCTGGCACTTTATCTAAAAAGTGTGCTGGTTCCTCTTCTAAAGTTTTAATATGTATTATTAACTCAGTTGATCATCAGAATACTACTTTTATTCTCTATTTTTTTTATTTTTCAGAATTGATAAGTTCTTTTTATGTATTTTTAGTTACATTGATTGGGGTTACAATGGTTAATTATAGAAGTTTCAAATACAGTTCTCTAATACATTTTCTGTATATTGAATTGTGTCTTCACCACCCAAAGTATAGTCTTTTTCCACCGACATTCATCCCCCCTTTACCTTCTTTTACCTTCTCCCACCCCCTTCTCTTTTTGTTATTTTTATAGTCAAAGAGTTGAGTCACAGAGGAGTTTAAAGCCCTTTTCAATGCCACATACTTGCTAAGTGGTAGAAGTTTCAAAATCAACCAGTTTTACTCTAAAGATGAGTTATCATAACCCCTGCTCTGGAAATGCCCAACTTTTTCTAATCTCTGGATGTGGCATATTATAGAGGAAAATGGTTTTCCAGCCTATTATTTAATATATGGCTCTCTCTCTCCCCCATCACTCCTTCCCTTCTCCACATATGCATAAATACAGCATATAATTTTAGCTCTGAAAACATTAGTTGTTGCCCCTATACACTTAACCAATATCAAAAATAATTTTTAGAAATACCTTTCATTTATTTTTCTCATATTTACTTCTATATTCAATTATGGTGACTCATTCTAGCAAAACTCAGCCCTATCAACACTTTTTAAAGGAAATCTCATTTTTATCATTTTTATTTTAATTGTTTATTATTTTAATAAAATAATAAATTTTAATTTATTTTTAATTTTTATTTTATTTTAATTATAAGTATAAATTTTATACTTATAATTTAACCTGTTTGCTTGTTTTAAGAAAAGATATAAAAATGCGTTGATCCCAGCACATCCCACTCTGTTTTTGGCAAGAACATGAACACACAGGATATTTCTTCCTAAAT